AAAAATTTATCGAGTTATGCATGTTGAGAAAATTTTGACGCTGTTAATTTTAAATAATGTAAGCAGAGAAATTAATTTTAAATTTGGTTTAGTGGGATCAAATTTTTGAACATTAGAATCTTATGTTTCATCGTGCCTTCAAGCATGAGGTATGACTAGTGTGTTTATATTATGCCTCAAGGGTGTTTGATTAAAGACTATGTGAAATTAAGTGTGTCATTGCTTAGATTGAGTATAACATGTTTGGAAAAAATTGTTGTTGAATGTAAATGTTGATATATGCTTATGATATATTGGCATTGTGATGATTTATGAAAAATTATATACCTTGGATATAATTAGCCATGAAATGTGTTGAAATAGTTCATATAGCATTCATTACATATGGATATGATATGATATTGATATTGCAATTGTTCATTACATTGCATATGCACGGATGTATCGTATTTGTGGGCATTAGACATGAGTGTAGGTGTGTGTGCATGTTTTTGAATCAAACATCACTCTTAGTAGTTGATAAGTGGGATCGGTACAGTCGGACCAAGGTCTGACAGAGTCGCACGGTTGCATAAAAAACTTATGTCAGATATAGCACAAAGGGCTAGATACTCCCTCGGGTGCAAGATCCGGTTACTGGTTTATACACTTTCGTCGGTGCAAGTCCAAAAAAGTGTAACTGTGTACGAAACTGGCATTGGATGTCTAACATCAATGGCAATGGTTTGAAATGCTCGGTTTTATACTCATGGCATTGCATGGGTTGTGGGAGCCGATAAAGGCTCGGGTTGAGTTGCATGAGTGAGTCTCATCTCATTTCATGGCATGACATGGTAATTCTCATCATTGAATTGCATATCCTTGATTGAGAGGTTTGTTACTTCTGAAATTGTGCATGTGAACATTTCATATGCATCTAAGTTAGGGAGTAGTCTCTTTAGGAGATACTCTATTGAGCGTGGCTCACCCTTTATGAGAAAATATTTCAATTGCGAGTTATACACAGGTGGACGGCTCACATTTGGAGCCTCAAGGATGAAGCAAAGCTAACTTGTGGCTTTTAAACCATCTTTTGTAAAACTTTTGTGAAATTTGGTTTTGGACATGTAAATATATGGAAATGATTGTAATAGAATTTTTATAGACCATGTTTTATATGAAAAACTTCATTATACATGTGTTGAGTTGATATGGAATGGATTGGAGTGGATTGAAAATCGAAAATAGGTGAAACAAGCAAATTTGGGCACACCTACCGATAGAACGTCACTCTTCTACTTGTAGATTTTCTTAGATTGTCTAAAAACAGGATTCCAGTACATAATTTCTACCGGTAGGTTTTTGAACACTTCTATAGTTAGGTTTTCTTAAAACTTCAAATTTTTTTTTGAAAGGTTTTACTAAGCTCTTGGGCATTGTTTCCTCTTGCTCAAAGATGTTCTATGGGATATGACTGACGATAAACTAATATGTAAAGGACCACAAATGGGTGGGCATGGTCCTGGTTACAAGAATGTTATTGGCGTGATGTCGGGTTATGTGATATTCACGGTTGTTTCTACGAGTTGACAGTTGGTCAACGAATTGACAAAGAACCCCTGTTTTTAGAGACATCACAATATATATATAGTAATATTAGAAATAAAAAATAGTAACATTCAAATATTTAAAAAAAAGTATCATTTAATCACAAAAAATAAAAAATAGTAATATTGTATATTAATATTTGAAAAAAATAATAGTAACATACTCAATAAAAAATAGTAACATTTAATATTTATATTTCAGAAAAATAATAATATTTAATGTTAATATTAAAAACAAAAAATAGTAACATTCAAACACAAAAAATAGTATAATTTAAACACAAAAAATAGTACCATTTAAATACAAAAACATAGTAACATTCAAAAAATAAAAAATAGTAACATTGTATATTAATATTTAAAAAAAATCAATAGTAACATACTAAACAAAAAATAGTAACATTGGATATTGATATTTTCGAAAATATTAACAGTAACATGCTTATTAAAAAAAAAAATTAGTAACACGAAAAGGGTAGTAATATGAACAAGCCCAACAAAACAAAAATAGTAACATGGAAAAAAATTGTTCCAGTACAACGTCGTCTTTTTCACAAAAATACACAATCAACTAAATCGAGACATAAATCGAAACCTCGCTGATCATCCAAAAAAGTAGTAACATGCGCAAAAAAAAAAAAAAAAAAAGTAGTAACATGGTATTTCAAGAATTGAAAAAATAATCACATGCTTCGGGATATTTCGTCGAAGTTTTTGGTGGGTGGGTTTGATGCTGTGGGAGTAACGGATAGGAGAGGTTTAGTGGGTTGCTGAAGGCGATGGGTTGGGATTTTTAGATTGGCGGTGACAATAGCCTATGGGACTTTGATTTTTTGGGAGACAAAAATGGCAGCTTGTGAGGAGTCTGTTTAGGAAATGGAAGTTATATGGGGGCGAGAGAGAGAGTTATGGAAAGATTGTGACAGATGAATTAACTTCTATGGCTTTCATAACTGAACAAAATTAACACCGTTAAGAGTATTTTTAAAATTAAAAAAAAAAAAAGTGGGCTTAAGTACCTACATATAACTTTAAAAATGGACTTACCTCCAAATAAATTTTATTACCAAACTCAAGTCATTATAAGTCCATTTAAGAGGATTCAGTCTCAATTTTCACTAGTTACTATTTTATAAAAGAGATTCATTACCCCCCCCCCTACACACACACACACACATATACTGTATAAAATAATGTGTATTTTTTATTCTTGCAATTAATATTCCAAAAAATAAGAAACTAGAGAAGGAAAAGACAAAAAAAAACCCAAAACAATGCTTAAAAAGAATAGTTAAAAAAAATATCAAAAATACTTTAAATGGCGTTATCAAATAGTACACTAACTATCGCCTAATGCCGTTCTTTTATGCCCATTAGTGGCTGCAAATGTCATTTCACTATCAGGTTACTTTATGCTTGAAAGATTACATGTAAAGCGCCATTGAAATCTTTAATGGGTATGTATCAAAATGTCAAAGTCCATTAATTTACAATGATGGTGAAAAAAACCAAGCGTCACCTGAAATGAATTGGGTGAGCTGTATGTGAAGTCTATTGAGTGTACTTGAAAAAAATGGACAAGTAAAGATAGAGATAAAAGTGGTTCGTTCGGTTGAGGAATCGAATTAGTCCACTATAGTAGAAACTTTTATCCCTTGAAATATATTGCTAAAAGAAAAATAAGAAGATTACAGTAATTCTCTCTAGGACAATCTATGTGCTCACCATTTTATATACATGTAATCATTGTGATATGTAATCGAATTGTCAGAGAATATTTGGTCGTTAGAGAGGCGTTTTCTCATAAGTGTGACGTGAAATTTTAGAAGTGATGATGCGACCACTTAGAGAGAGTGTCTATTTGCCTAAGGTAAGGTTTTCTAGTGAAAGTCGTCTTTTATTCCTTTTGATGATACCCGAGCTGTTGGTCGTCCTCGAGTATTCATAGCTGATGTGCACTCTTCCAGATCAAATCGACATACGGTAACCTAGAACACTGTCTTGTTCTATCTTTAGTCCGATCTAGACTATTTCATTCTGGTATCATCAACAATTATGACTATTTGTTTGACCAGCAATTTAAAATTGAGTTGCCATCCTCTTTTTTTTTGTCCCAAGGCTAATATTTGTCAAAGGGATTACTCTAAGAGTGATAATAAATATTTATCTACCTAAATAAGAGGTTGTACAGTCAAGTTTAAGAATCAATCTCTTCAAACAAGAAAAAAAATTATTTATCTGATATTTCTCTCGTGCTTTGCTATGTTTGTACTTGCTACACCATTTTTTTATTTATTTCGTGTACGATTTCATTTGGACATGTACGAAGGCAGTAAGTGGGATAGTAAATGAGAAGAGGCGCATGTGTCCAGAGGCTTCAATATTAGAGACAATAATAATTCGGCAGGTTTTCTTTTTTTTTTTTTTTTTGGGGGGGGGGGGGGGGTGGGGGGAGTGTTATTCAGAAACAATATTAGAGACAACTTCAGAAAGGAGTTCAACTGAGAAAAACAATGACTTTTTCAAATATTTAGAAGACCAGATCTGGTAATTCTTCGAAATATATCAGGAATTATTTGCAATATACAATTAGTTAGACGTAATTCAAGAAATTACTGAATATGCACACAGGATAGATTTGGGATTCAATGATAAATTAAATGATATTCAAGAACACTGTTGAAAAAAGTGGTGAATTTTGTTATAGCATATGACTTGTTATTTAGCCAAGAAGTGGGCTAGGAGGAGCTTTTACTCTTCAAGGCTTACACCTGCCATCATGGATATGAACAGTAAATCTACCACAACAAACCAGAAACACTAAAACGCCCATGATCTAGTAGAATATATCAATGTGAGCTCACTGCTTTTACACCGGGCCTTTGATCCCAAACGGCATCTCCTTGTGTACTTCAAATATAACCGTGACTGCCCCATTATTGACAAGTGCATTTTACTTAACACGCACACACAAAAGAAGGAAAGTGTGTGTTGGGGGAATCAGGGAGAATTTTGAAATAATGGTGTAGTGTTCAAAGTCTTAGTCCTGTTCAAATAATATGCCAAACCGATCCCATCATGTGTAAAATGCAGCATGGACTAATTAATCAACATTCAATCTACATGTACAACTTTAGAATGGAAATTACATCTTTACAGATTCACACATTAACATTTCTATAGTACAGAAGCTAAAGTCGACAAATTGTTCATTTTTGGTAGGCTAACAATATGAAATGCACATTGGCAGCCCGAAAATGTCTAGCTTTTGAACTCTTTGAGTACACAGCCCTACGATAGTATCTTTCCACCCTTCACTTTACTCAAGTACAGCTCTATATAGTTTTCTCATTTCCCATCCCATCTTTTGTCCAAGTTAAGAAACACAATTACTGGATTAGGAAGAGATTCTACTTAACCAGAGCCACTATGAGAAGATCCCTCTTGGTTGGCCAAGAAACGAACAACAACAATAGTAATATTATCTGCGCTGCCTCTCTGGTATGCTTCCCGCATCAGCCTCTTTGCTGCCTCCTCAGGCTCATCAATTTGTTTGATCATTGAGACTGCTTCCTAAGAAAAGGGTAAGAAATATACCATGAAGACATTTAGAGAAGCAATTGAAGTATCCGTCTGGTGAACTTAAATTGTACATCCCATTAAAAGAAGGAAAAAGAATAAATAACCCAAAACTGAAAGTATAAATTATTAGCAGTAAGGGCAAATTTAATCTAAGTTATTGCTGAGGTCATGTACAAAGAAAATCTTCTCCTTCCAAATCAAGCCAAACCGAATAAAGCCTTGTCCCAGTCAGAAGATTTGAAAGAATAAATATCAAACAAACCTCATTCGTGACTACGTCCCATAATCCATCACTTGCAAGGATAAGAAATTCAAGGGAGCTGTCTACCTTTTCCTCCTGCAGGTTTCATAAAAAATCAACAATGAAGAGGATTAAAATTTAGGCAATTAAATATGGAAGTAGCAGCCAAGGAAGGGGAGAATCACTCTCAATAGCAACCTAAAATTCCCCATAACAATCTATTTTCCCACGAGAACTAGCAGTCAACTGCAAGAGTGCAGCAAAAGCATTCATCTAAAATGCTTTTACGTGCAAAGTGACTCAAAATGATAGGTTCACATGTAAAGTTAAGATATTTTGAGAAATCTTCCCAAGATCATAATTCAAGAAATTTATAACATTACATTATTCTAACAAACGAAGAGTAAAGACGAATAATTAATTTAGGTACGAGCTAAAAACTAGTTTAAATGTCTTAGCTCAAAAGCAAGACATATGGGTTGAATAATCTATATAATAAACTACAAAGGATTTGAATCTTAAACTTATGTCTAGCTTTTGACGAGGGGTGCAACTTGAGTTGGATAATTTGATTTCTATCCGAGCCCAACCCGAAAAAATTAGGGCTTGGATAAGGTTTTTAATACTTGAATTGAGCTTAGGTCAAAAAACTCCAACCTGAATTCAATTTGGGTTGGGCTAAGGTTAAGGCATCGGGTTCACTGGTTCAACCCGAACTCGACAAATTTAAAAAAAAATTATATATATATATACATAAACCATTGGCATTGGTTTTCATTTTTGGTGTAAAAGCAAATGATCAATAATCGTGCACTGTTATGAATGAAATATATGAATTATGTTTTATGAATTTGTAATTATTCCCCCCTCTCTCGCAGTGGACAGGTGGCAATGGTTTTTATGTTCTGATCATGGTTTTTATGTTAAAAACTTGGTTGAAGTTATTAGTTGTTAATTTATGTGAATATTATATGTATTATATTTAGAACAACAAGCCTATTTTGGGTTCTACCCGAACTCAACCCGAATTGAACCCATAAATTAACTCGAAATTAGCCCGAAATCATTAATCTGAATTCAACCCGAACCCGCCCGAATTAAACTCAGACAGTGCTCGGGTTGAGTTTCTCAACCCAAGGTAGGATTAGGGTTAGAGTTAGGGTTGAAGATTATATACCTAGGATTGAGCTAGGGTTGACTGTCCAACCCGCCCGAGTTGCATCCCTACTTTTGACATACCAGATCATTTTTCCCGCCCCATTCATATTTGGGTCAATTCTCTCTCTTCCCTTCTCCAATCTCTGTCTAATCCCTATCCTTCCAAATTCCCACACGCTTCACCTCTATCCTTCCATCGCCCCCTTTCCCCCTACATTCACCCAATCTCCCTCATCTGTTTACTCTCCGCTTCTATCAAGCCAACGTCAATGCCCAGCCCACTGCCACAAACCCCTACTACCTCAGCCCACCCCACCAGGACCCCTCCTCTCCAATCCTTCCCCTCCCCCCCACTCCTTCCCCTCCCCCCTTTCTCTTTCTCTCATCTCCACACCCCGGCCATCTACAATCCCGCACATACCAACGGAAACAATCACAACCCCAGCTACTCGACGCCAACATCCACACTACCTCTACCAGCCACTGTGTATCTCTCCCTCCCTCCCTCACCAATGACCAGCCATGCACAACAGCCCACGCCATAGATGACGCCAGCATCTCTGGCAACACCCCAACAACAATCAAAGGTATCCATCTTTCTCTCCCTCTCTATCTGCAACCACCACCAACCTACCCATCTCTGTCACCCACACAAAAATCGAGACTCACTACTTCAAACACACCCACACATACAGAGATTCGTATCACACAAAATCCCTGCATCCTTTCTTTCTGTCGTAACATTTCTGAATGGGATATGATTTTTTTTTTTTTTTTTTTGCTTTATTTGTCTGATTTGTACATAATTGAAACCAAGACATTGTCACTTTCTGTTAATTTTTTGCTCCATGAATCATTAAATTTTCATTTTTTTTTTAGCCTGATGTTAAGGGAAATTCATCAAATTTAGAACTATGGGCATTATAAATTGGTTATTCCATTTTCTTTATATCAAGTCTCTAATTGTCCATTTTAAAGCCTTTGAATGGTTTTAAAATATTTGTTTTCATAAAGATGAAGAGCCATTTATATTGATATATGACAAACTTGCAGCATTTATGTTCTAAAGGTATCAAGATTCACATAAATAGCCAAAGCTGGTCAAAATTTCAGATTTTCTTTCTCATTCTAGCAAGATTTTCGACATTAAGGGGTAAGGATTCTACAAGGTTTTTGGCTAACTTTAGTTTGGCAGTAATAAAGGGATACTGTTGCAATGTAGCGGGTTGGTAATCTGACCAACATCCTAAGTTTTTGGTTTCATTATTTGTTTTATTTTACCTCTTTCAATGTAATCTAGATTGAATAAGGGGTTAGGCTCCAAATCCCTCCTAACTATGATGTAAATTTTAAAGTTTTTGAAGAAGACTTCCACACTAAGTTGAGGTTTAGTTTTAAAAAAAAAGATTAGAAAAGTTAACAAGTGAATTAGGAAAGTTAACATGTCTGTATTACGAAAGTTGACTGGCACATGATTTGTGCCATGATTTATCCTATAAATCATATCACATATAAATGTGAATGGATTTGATATCAATTCGAATACCCAAAAGTCAAACATTGTCAATCTTAATTCGGAATTATTTGCTTTGGTGTATGGTGGCCTTTGATTTGGTTTGGAAAGTGACCTAGGCATGGGCAATTTTGGTGGATGGTGGATGGTAGATTGTTTGATGGATTCTTTTTTTAATTTGCTGAAATTTTTGGGAATTTGTTTTTTGAATGGTATTTTGTGTTAGTCTATCTGTGGATGTTTGTGTTAGTCTATCTTGATGTAGTATTTTTTTAACTACTCAAAAATTAAATTTTGACTTCAATACTTCTAGTTTGAGTGTTATTTTTATGATTTGAGGTTTGATTGATTAGTTTTTATATTGATTGTTTAATATGCTCATCTCTTTCTTCTTTTTTTTTTAGCTACACATTGTTTCCCTTGCTGTGACTATTGGATACCATAGAGAATTGGAAATCCCCATCTTTAAGATATTTGCTTTTTTATCTACTTTTCAAGTTATAGTGCTAGGGAAAAGAAGGAAGAGTGAGAAAAGAATATAAAAAAGAAGTTAACAGATTGTAAGTCCCGTGTTTTTTTTTTTTGGGGGTTGGGGGAAGGGGACTTGAACCCTGGAGGTCTTCAAAAGGTAAGGAGTACCATTGGATCAAAGACTCATTGGTCTTGTATATTTCATTGGTGGGTTAAACTTTTTTTGTTGGGAGAGATTGGGGGTTTGAGACTTTTCACTAAATTCTCATTTTTCAATTGAGAATTTTTTTTTTATAGTGTCTTCAAGCACAGACATTAACTAGTTACAAATATCATCAAACTTTCAAAAATATAATAAGAAATAATTATGCATAAGCAAAATTTTCAATGACAGCATTTACAAATCATATTGAGGGTTCCCTCAACTGTCATTGCCACATTTGAGGCTGAAAAATTGTGAATCATTTTCCTCTCCTTACTTTAGAATAGTTTCAAAAGTAGAATGTTCCCAACATAACAATGTCACATCAACTAATGTGGCCAAGTAGTCACAATCAAATTTAGATCAGACCTGAATTTCTGGATCCGCAACAACATACTGCTTCAAAAGTCTATCACCAAATGCACGAGAAACAGCAAGTACACCACCAACTCTCCAAGTTCCTGTGGACAACGAGATTTGCCAAATCACAAAATGCTTAGAATCCGCAGTGGATAAAGCTAACCAAATGATTCCCTTACCTGCCCACATGACAAACCCTCCAGCATCTTCAATCCGTTGTCGTTCATCAGTTTGGTCGGGCTTGTGGTCTCGAGAAACAGCAAAGGCTGTAAGTAATTAAAAAACATGTTTTCATCTGACGGTGGACTATAAATATTTCTCCAGTAAAAACAACGTTAGCCAGATAAGCATCCAGTGAAAACACAAGAAAACAATCCTACTCGATCCACTTTTGCTTCTAGTTGATGCAGTAGTAGCAGCAATCATACTTCCAACAAAATTGACACAAATATCTCCAGACCAGCAATAAAAAGAACACAAGAATTTACAGCTTCAAATCATATAATTAAAGAAAGGGAAGGAAAAAAATTATTATTTAATATAGTGATATCGATTTTTGGGCAATTTGATTTTATGTTACATCATACCTTCAAGTACGGGTTATGACTAGATATAGATATTTCAATATAGAAGTTCATAATGCACCCAAACAAAAAACCACGGATGAAATATTTCTCAACAACAATATTTGAAAATAAAAAATAATACAACATGTATTATGCTAAATATGCATGGTCACTTTCAATATTTAATCTTCCACCTTGTGCTACAGTATTGACTAAAACGAAAACATTATCAAAACAGAAGCACTAATTAATGATGGATCATAAATGACCACTTCAAAATGAAACAAACATAACAAGAATGACTGAAACAGAGAACTAATAATAAAGGCACTGAGATAGACACTGAAAGATCAACTAGAATGCACTAAGTCTCTGATCTAGATTTAAGTCTCCTAGAGCAAATCTTGATCTATATGTTACTCTGAGAAGAAAAGGCTAAGAAAACCTTAAATTGGAAATGATACACTGTCAATGACCCAGATGTTGCGAAAATATAGGTTCACAGAAGCCTGAATGAACAAAATACAAGTGATAAGGCACACAGAATGTGAAAAGGACATGATATGGTAGGATACCTAAGTAGGACTAAAAGTACATCCATCGTACGTCAACATATAAAACTTCGACACATTCTACAAAAACAAAACTCTTGACAAGTAATTCCACAAATCTATCAAATATTAGGGCTAGGAAGTAAAATTCTCAACCATATAAAAGCACAACTACGGTCAAAATTGATCCAATTTTCATATACTTTCATCCGACGGTACAAAATTCATTCCAAAACATTTTTCTACGCTCAAAAATATCATCTTCTCTACATGGGCCACATTGACCCAATTTTCATGTACTTTCATCCAATGATACAAAATTCATCATAAAATATTTTTTTACCGCTAAAAAATATCATCTTCTCTACACAGCCCTCAATGTCAAACAAGACAACTCAACCAAAACACCCCCAATATCAAACAACCTCACTCATCCTTACCTACCTCTCTCTTCTCTTTCCCCTAACTCTCTTTTAGTTCCTATTTGTTCACCTTAATTTTAAAATACGTAATTAAAGAAAAAAGATATATATAAATGCTATTTAAAATATAAATATTGTACGATCAATGCGCAATTTTTGGCATTGTAGAGTATTTTTAAGCACGGAATTATTGCTTGTATGCTTATATGACATGGTCTCTCTCCCCCCCCCCCCCCCCCCCTTCTTCCCCCCTTTTTAAGTCACTCTGACTTGTTTGTGCAAAATTTTAAATCCACTAAATGCATTAGAGCATCAATGCATTGGCCATGGGCATACCACCTCCTATGAATTATCTGTGCTTCACAGATAACACAGATAATAAAGCCTTCCCTTTTACTTCTCAAAAATTCAAAGTCCCTTCTGAACTATCAAGCATAATTAGTAAATGTTGGTAGAATTATAATTAGTAAATTCAAGGTCCCTTCTAAACTATCAAACAAAATTAGTAAGTGTTGGTAGAATTATAATCAGAGAAAGACATATCATTACTGTCAATGACAAAGAGATGCGGTCAACTATGGATCGTATGTAGACACTAATCTTTGATCTGGCATGTGCAAAAACAACAGTCATTCACACTTTTCCGATATTTATTTTATCAAAACATCATTCACAGTTATATGACATTTTTTCATCGAAATCTTTGGTTAACCGTACGTGTTCCTCGTGGGTCAGACTCTAGGGACAAGGTTAATTAGATGAAGTTAGCAATTGAGTAAAATACTTTTTGGACCTTAAACTATACGCTTTGTGTCAATTTAGTTCCCAATCTTTTCATTGGGCCAATTTGGTCCCCCAACTTTTCAATTTGTATCGCTTTGATCTAATAAAAAATGATAGTTTGATTTAACTAACAGAGATATTTACGTGACCACACTTGAGGGGTCATTTTAGTTCCTCAAATTTGCAACTTGTATTAGTTTGGTCTTTCAAATTCAAAGTTGGTATCATTTTAGTCCCTAAAATTTCTAAAGAATGCGCCTCAAGTGCAATCACGTGACAATCTCAGTTAATAAATTCCAACTGTCATTTTCGATTGGACTAAAGCGACACAAAATTGAAAAGTTGATGAACCAAATTGACACAATTACAAGATTGAGAATCAAACTGACACAAAGTGCATAGTTTAGGGACCAAAAATGTATTTTACCCTTAGTAACAGAAACCAAGAAGGATAGCGTGAGGGGCCAGATCTTAAGGCTGCTTGGAAAAGGGCTAGGGGTTAGGGGGGAAAAAGGGAGAGGGGAAAATTGACGTTGGCAAACAGTCCCCATAGAAAAGCTTGGTCAGATTAATCCAATGGCTAATGGTGCACAAAAGAGAGGTCAAAAAATTTTGGAAATAGAGAACTCTCAAAAGACAAGTCGTTGGCATATTCTAATTTCAACGACTAATGTACAATGGTGCAAGGATATTTAAAAGTGTTCAATGGGTAATCTCAACTCCTTAGTTCTTGGGTTTTCAATATTTATTCTTAGTCTTGACTTCTTAATACATACATCTGATTTCTTTATCCATGTTGGCTGCTTCGCCTAAAACTACATTCAATCCAAGCATGATATTTTTCATCATTCATATCTCTAAATGCATATCCAACAAGCATCATCTCATATCCTCCCTTATCTTGTACTTATATAACCATCAAAATCTCCTCCGGTGCATACTTTATCTTCTTTTTGGTATTAATTCATCCATAAAATCTAAAAATTGATTTAATATGTTCATCTAATCCTGCCTAGGCTGCATAGGTACTAATGATGTTAATTAGACTTTCTCCAATTACTATTTTAATAATGCAATTCTATTTCCATTTTAAGAACTTCTAGTACTTCCTATTGAAGATTCCAAGCTATTATTATTCTAGTTCTGTTCAATATCTATTGTTTTTAGTTAATAGATTTGTTGGGAAGTGTTAAGTGTGGATTTAGAAGGATTTTTTGATAAATCCTATGAGAATGGAGTGGTTAATACTTATACAAATGATTTTTTTTTTTTTTTGCCTTATTCCCCAAAATGATAAGTCTCTAAAAGTGAAGAATTATAGGCCTATTAGTTTAGTTATAAGTCTTTACAAGATTTTGGCTAAAGTTTTGTCTATGAGACTTAGGGAAGTTTGTTATGAGACTATCTCGAGAGCCAAAGTAGCTTTTGTGAAAGAGTGACAAATTTTGGATGCAGTACTTTTGGCTAATGAGATTGCTAAGGAATATAAAGAAAAAAAGAAAGAGGGCATAGTTTCCAAGGCCTATTTTGAGAAAGCCTATGATACGGCAAATTTGAACTTTTTGAATTTTGTAATGGAAAGGAAAGGTTTCGAATCAAGATGGAGAAAGTGTATTTGGGGTGTTTAAGATCTAGTTAACTTCTCTGTGATAATAAATGGGGCATGTTGAGGTTCTTTTAATGCAACTAGTGATCTTAGGCAATGTGATCCTATTTTACATTAGTAATTGATGTATTAAGTAGAATAGTGGATAGGGTAAGTAGTACAGATATGGTAGAGGGATTTAGGATATGAAAGGGGCAGAGTGGAGGTGACCCACCTACAGTCACAAATGATACTATTTTCTTTTGTGTGTGAGATGAGAGGAATATCCATACAACTACATCACTTTTGAAATGCTTTGAATTGGTGTCAGGTCTCAAGGTTAATTTGTCTAAAAGTGCAATTGTGTGAATTAATGTCCAACAAGACAAATTGATAAGCTTGGCAAAAGAACTAGGATGCACTATTTTGGAATGGTCTTTAAGGTACTTGGGCCACCCACTAGGGGGTAACCCACATAACTTAGCTTTTTAGGTCCAGTGATTCATAAGATTGGCAAGAGATTAGATGGATGGAAGAAAGTATATTTGTCGAGGGGGTGAAATGACATTAGTTTGCTCGTTCCTTGAAAGTATCCTGATATATGGGAAGATCATGTGGTAAGTTGGAATGTAATAACTCGATCTAGAGATAAAGATGGTCTTACTTTAGGGAACGTAAGAGCTAGGAATATTTCATTGCTTGCTAAATGGTTTTGGCGATTTCCCATTGAGCCTTATAGTTTGTGGCATTTAGTGATTAAAAGTAAATATTAAATTCAACAAAATTGAGTGCTATACAACATGAGTGAGCAAAGATGTTCTCGTTGTCATTGGAAGTTTATTTCTCAAAGAATCCTCTCTTTTCTAAAAATGTCAAATTTGTGGTGAACAATGGAGAAAAAATTTGATTTTGATAGGGCCTGGGTGAGTCTTCTTTTGCTTGTATGTTTCCTCGGTTGTATTGATCGACAAGAACCCAAATATTTCCATTGCAAGTATGGTAGCATTCTATTTTTACAGAATTTTAATTTATTTAGGAGTTTGCATGATAGAGAAATTGTTGAGTTATCCTCTCTCTTATCCATTTTTTATAACATTTCTCTGGATCAATTCTACCATTAGAGCTAAAATCTTGTGGAATACTGTTGTAATGACATTGTTTTGGGTGATATGGTTGGAGAGGAATGAAAGAATCTTTGATGAAAGAATGGCTGCCTTGGATGAAATGTGGTAAAAGATCTCTTTTTTGGCATCCCTAAGGACATCTACTTCAAAAGAATTTGAAAGGACTTCATTATTCTTGATAAAAAATCATTGGACACAAGTGTGCGAAGGGACTTGAGATGGTGTTACCCTCTATCTGTATTACTATTTTTACTATATTTATTTTTCTTTGTTTTTGTTTTTTTCTTATCAAAAAATAGAATCACATCCTGGATTTCCTGTTTTCCTGTTTTCCTTACTTTCTCTCCAACCCTCTTAATTTACTCTAATCATAATTTTAATCAACTTCATTGTTTTACCTGCTAGCTTTTATATATTACAAGTCACTGACCTAAATTTGATATTCAGGACTAGATTCTGCACCTGCCCACATCCAGAGTAACATAGAATCCCTCACATTTTTCCCTCAAATGCAAACAACCAAAATATGGTGCCCCTAACTTATTTTTCAGAAACACCAAGGGCAAGGACAACTCATAGGTTAAGGGGAACACCTAGCATTTACACATTTTCAGATCTCATGTTCACAAGAGATCTGATAAATTTTACGTTGCCTTTCACTATCTAATGAAACACTCCTCCTTAATCTAGACTTGCAACTAACAGTGCAAAAAAAAAAATTGACACTAAACACGACACACGTGGACATAAAATTTAGGAAGCAAGTGATAATACAATTACTAATGAATTATATAATTGACAATTAGTGATTGCAAATATCAGTAATATTTTGGCACAAGTATTAAGAGTGAGCAAATCTCCGGTCTTTGCATCAGTATAGATTGATGACATAAAGGAAACTTACAAACAACTACAATGAAGCCAATGTTGAATATAAATGATAAAGGCTACATTTAGAAGAATCCATGAATTCAAAAGAAGTTACAGATAAATGATGGATTGACAACCATAAATGTTTTTATATGTAGTCTCCTCGGTATCAAAAATATTAATCTCACAAGTCAATCAGATGCTGTGAAAAACAAAACTTCTGAGTCTTACCATTACCACCCCTGCAAATAACAGCTCTCGAATCCCCAACATTAGCAACCAGCAAACGATCGCCAACAAGGATAGCAGTGGAAGCAGTTGAGCCAGCATCTCTGTTCTGACTATTATCTGATTTCAGAAATTCTGAATCGGTATGGCTGTATGCATCAGCTGCAGTGGGAGCAATACATAAAAACCAGGAAGTTACATGAGCAAGAACTTGTCCAACATCATAGAAACAACAACATCAGTAAAAATGAGACAAACCTATTGCCAATTTGGTATCAGAAATAAACTTTGGATGCCTGATCAAATTACTGAAAAGGTTTTGTTTAACATACTCTGCAGCTCGAGCACCCCCATGACCTATAACAGCAATAATGCACATATACACAGAAAGATGAGAGAGACATGAAGAATCCAGTAGTAAGGTAAAAGTTCTCTCATTTCAGATTCCTTGTCAATTATGGTTCCCAAAAAAAAAAAAAAGTCATTGTCAATCACGATAAGTCAAAAACAACTATAGGCATATAAGGATGTGAAGAAAGCTAGTTATTTTATGTATACAAAACTCAAATGGCACATAAAATGATCAAATTTGAGGAATGAATTAAGAAATATAGATTAATAAGGTAGTCAGTCCTACGGAAGAAAGTATGAAACGGCAAACAGAATCTAAAAGAAGCACTAACTATACTACTAGTGGCTCCTGCATACAACTACTGGTGTGTTTGATATAGAAGCATATGATACGGAGATATTGAAGGAGAGAAATATGTGAGAGAAAAGAGATATGAGACTTACGGGTTGTTGACAGGCAGTTAAATGTAGTTGAGTAAATTAAAAAATATTATTTGTGGTTAAAGTGAAAAAAAGACAGGGTGTTTTGGGTATTTTATGAGTGGACACCAAATTAATAGTATAGATTTTACAAGATATTGTGACACTCATCCACAGGAGTGAATTACAAAGAGTTTTTATGACCATTTTACAGGTGCAAGTACTAATTTTTGCCAAAAAAAAAAGAAAAAAATCTTACCTGGTGCTGATAACATAATATGACACCTAGTTTAGTCCCCATTATGGAGAGTCTGCGAGGAGAAGATCGAGTACACATCTACCATTTGACATTAATTGTATAAAGTGATGGCTCTAAGTTTTGATCCGACAACCTTAAGAGTGATTTGGCCAAAACACAAAAGAGCATGTAGAGAGAGAGAGAGAGAGAGTAGCTTACCATCAAAGACTCCGAAAAGACCAACTATCTCTCCATCCACACCATCAATTCTTGTCTCATAGAAATCCTCCATCGATGCCCTCTTCCCAGGGGAGCTTGCATATCCATAGCTGAACTTTCTGTTTTGACTGTTCCCAAATGACAAGTTACACTTAGACACATTCTGAATTTTTAACATCGACAAAGTTATTGGATCAATATGCATATAAATTAGTCATAATCATCTCCGAACATGTAATCTACTCAATGTTGCCCATGCATGTAAAATCTCATTTTGTGTGTGTGAGAGAGAGGGAGATCCCCACATATATTTTTTTAGTATATACTGAAGCAAACCCTAAAAAAGAAAATAAGCAAACAAACAAATAAAACTCCAAATGAGCTTTGAATGGCCAAATGGGAAAAAAGCCCACCCTTAACACTACGAGCATCACTCTTACTTTCTTAACATTGAACAGAGATCAATGGAAGAAAAGAGAAAAACACAAATAGAGCAGCTTGAAGTTGTTATTTATAAACTCTAATGCTGATAGCTGCAACACGCCAAGTGCTACGGCCCATTAAGTACAGGAAACATGGCCCATAATAGAACTCTCTCCTTCAAAAAAATATATCTCCATTTGTGTCTCGTATAATTTATATATTGACAAGTCAATCAACTTATTCTAGGACATGTCATTCTACACTTCTGTCTCTTCTAAAATTTCAAGGTGAAATTTAAGTTTCAGATGTAGCTTTTGGTGGTGTTTGATAAAACTGAAAGCTAAAAACTGAATGCAGAATTTATGGACTGTTTGGTATTCACTAAAATTTAAGTATTAAATTGAACTAAACTGTTTGGTAACTACACAAAACTAACGTTTGAAAATAAATTAATTTTCAGTTTTACCCTTCCACTCTTTAATTTGAAAATATTTATCAAATATGTCATAACATAAATTATAATCACTATTATTATATTGTCGTCTACATTTAACAAATATTTGATCAAAATAAATATATAACATCTAAATAACACAATAAGTGAACAATTACAAATTGAATAACATAATAAGTGAACAATAACATCTGATAAAAAAAAGAACAATAACTAATAAATAATCAAATAATATTGAAAAAATACAATAAATTAAACTTCATTAACAATATGTGTGTGCGCCGTGTGTGTGTGCAGTCCATGTGTGTAAATATGTGTGTGTGTGCAGTCCATGTGTGTAAATATGTGTGTGTGTGCAGTGCATACGGTTGTGTGTAATTGTGTGTGTGCAGTATGTGGAGTGTGTGCGTTTATGTGTGTTATTATAATTATGTATGTATATTTTTGTTACAAAAAACAAGGAAAAGGAAAAAAAAAAGATCGACAAGGAGAATATATAGGTTACAGGTGTTTGAGAGAAAACTAATTAGAGTTTTAATAAGATTGTAAAATATTTCGGGGTATAATTGTCATATTGTAAATATTATTAAAGAAGGTTTTGTTGTGCGCTTTCAGCTTTCAGAATTAAGCAAGTGATCTCCCACTTAATATTGTAGCTTATTTTTAAATAGCACTTAACATATTAAGAGAGTTTAAATTTTGGTTATTAAATGAGCTAAATTAATAAATGCTTAATACATTCATTATAAGTGCTGAATTTGAGTTAACAAACACACCCTTTCTATGCTCCTGTATACCACACATTCCCATGGCTAAATCCAATCTGGTGGGGTGGTTTATTCATTCTTATTTTATAAGAGAAAAAAGACTGCAATGTTCAGAGAAGGGTGTAAGCTTAGAGCCCGCTATGTCTTCAAGAACACCTCTCTGGATTAAAGCCAACAAATAATATGTAATGATGGTGATGAGATTAAATTGTTTTCTTTCATATATCATTGATAGCCATGGTGCATAAAAGATATCTTACATGTGTAAGCCCACATGATATGCATTTGCATGCATGTGGGTGGTGTACAAGTGCATGCATCGAAATTAGCACAAATATAAACAGATAATCATGAATAAACTTTCCAGAATGTTCTTCTTTTCAGCATTACTCTCAGTTGGACAACATCATGCAGATTGTAATTTGGTTTCAATGTCCTAGTTTGTATTTTTGTTATGACTTTGCTGTTATCCATCATTGGGTTCTACAACTTGTCCACCTTTGATCAGTTTATAATACTTTATTTTATTTATTAAAAAAGTTGTCTTTTCTCATATTAAAAAAATAGATCTAACACATGCAAACCATGAGAGCCCTTAATAGAAAACATGGGATAGCATTATAACGGGTTGGAGCAGTCCAACCTTCTTATTTGGTGGATTTACAAACTCAGATAATGGGAACAGACAATTGTTTTCTAGAAAAATGCTATAGCCCACCAAACACAACAAAAGGAGATCGATAAAAAGTTTTTTCAAATCTTGCATATTGCATAACTAATACATTTCCCTTTTAGCAATGCTCCTTCTTGAAAGACGCGACCCATGTCATTTTTCCTTGAACATATCCAATCACATAGATTGCGTAGTCAATTTAATTCTCTTGCAGGGGATCAATGCATTCTTGACATGACAATATGAAATTTAATCAAGAATATTGTGACACAACGTGACTATGTGCCTTTTGTAGAAACAAACCCCTTGTGCAGATAGCATAAACAATTTAGCACTCTTGTAGGGATATCAATGCATGCCAAACATGACAAAACTTAAGCAACTATTTCTTTGATCATACAGATTCCTTTATTAATCTAGTTTTAAAGGGATAATAAAGCATCCCCAGCCCGATAATATACGAAGAACTCCGACATTCATATAGCATCACTAATGTTGTTTCAATACAATCCCATTGAAATTCACGAAAAGTCAACACGTGTATTAGACAAGTATTTTTTTTCCATTGTGTAGAATATATTAGTAATCCAATTATCAAATATTGACGTTAAAGCATGAAAAAACCAACCAACAACTTCCATGCTAGAATTAGACTCATTATGCTGATGGCTTAACCAGTTTAACTTTCCACAACAGCAAGGGTAGCTTAGTTCTCTTTTGCTTAAGGGAAGCTTAGTTCTCTTTTGCTTCTTAGAACTTCCTCGTGCTTCTTCTTGATTAATTCTTATTCTTTAGTTCCCTTAATTCTGATTCAATGTATTATAGCACTTCAATCACATGAATTGGTATTAGAGCTATATTGGTCTACATCATAGTGTAGCTCACATAACTGATTCGCTTATTTGGTTTTCTCACAAAGATATTGATGGGTCCAACACGATTAATTGTGGTTTAATCACTGTTGTTTCTTCATGCAGTTTGTGAAATAGTCATAAACTGCACGCACTAAGGAAATCACATTTATAAGAGCAAAGCTAATACAAAGTTGATTAAGAGATGAAATTGAGGGGAAACCAAATTGCAAGGGATGCAATTTAGGTAGAAACATATCGTAGCCATTAAAAGTCAACTTCCATTCATTAAAAAAAGTCATTTAATATTACCGGCACGATATTTTCTTCTCCATTTTAATCTATTGGCCAAATCAAAAAGATCAGTCAGATGTTTCGGATTCAAAGAAAAAACCCGCCTTAAAAAAAATATTGTTTCTAAGAATTGCATAATGAATTCATAATAAATGACCCAAATCTAAACAGATGATCAATCGTTAGTAGCATGCAAATCAATAATTACCATATGTATACATGTAACAACCAACACAACTACAAAGTACAACCAATTCAAGATCTGTCAAAGGAAGAAAGAGAGTTGGAGAGAGAATTATACCTAAGACCGCCACCGCTAACGGGCCCATCATCACCATGAACTTGGCTGGTAGATGATAATACCGAATTCAGATACCCCATGGCAATAATGATTGACCTGATCAAATGCCAATCTTCCCTTCAATATGTTTATATGAGTGCGTTGTTGGAAATATAAATTAAAAAACGCCTATTTTGGTAAGCGAATGACCCACAATATGTGTAGCTTCATTTCCAATCACGAAAAATCAAATCCAACCTGAGAAAACCCAACATCAATTTCAAATTCACCAAAATAGTAATATTCAATCCAACCCATTAACACCAAATGACTTGAACAATACATTTGATTTGCATACCTATAAACAATTAATATAACTATATATACATGTGCGTGTATATAGTTATATAAAAATATGGGAAAGCGAGAGAGAGAGAGGAGAGAGAAACTACCTGGAATAGATTAAATGCCATGAAAACAGAGAAGAAAACTTTAAGTCGAATTAAACGGGCAAGATGACGACGATATGTTAGAGAAGAGAGAGGGAAAAGTATTAAGAGAAAGGGTTCTGTTTTGGTTTTGTTTTGAGTTTTAATCACAAGCAAACAGAGTGGAAATAATTCTTAGGTAATAACTAATTGAGCAATTTTTCATGAATTTAAAATATTGACTAGATCATTATTATTGATATAAGTGTGATATTAGGCCTCGAAAATATGTCAAGTGAAACGATTTCCCGTGAAATAAATTCGTGTCAAAAAATTTATTTATATCTTATTTTTTTATATAAACAGGTTCAACTATCACATTTGTACATGACTCATTTATTAAACGAGTTACCCGATATAATTTATGTGTAACTCGTTTAAATAAGAAAATTAGTTAAAGTATTTTGAATTCACCCAAAAAAAATCATCAAATCGTCACACATTACACATGTTTATTATAACAATAAATCATCACTATGAAAAAATTAAGGCAAAAAATGAACATTAAATTAGTATCGAATTTAAATGAGTCCGACAGATGAGAAGCGTGAGATGAGGTAGAGGCTGAGAGACCTAGGAATTGTTTGTTTATTGTTTTTGTCTCGTGTTTTTGTGTTTTTATTTTCAATTTTTGTCAAATATGAAAACAAAAATATGTTTGTTTAATTGTTTTTGTTTTTTGTTTCATATTAGTTGTCTTAGAAACAAGCTAAAAAAATGAGAATAAAAAATTTGTGTTCTAGGAAATATGAGAACACACGAAACGTTTATTTTTTGTTTAAATGAGGTCTCAGTTTCGAGTTTTGTTAGTCACAAAATACCACTTTATATGATGAACTATAAATATCGGGTGAAACGCGTTTTAGAATTTATAGTGTCACTATTAACGAATTAAACATGAAACATATTCATTTATTTTACGGATTTACTGAGTTAATTTATTAACCTCTCGAACCTGTTAAGATTATACTCAAACTCTCTAAATCCATGTAAAGTTAGTTCTGGTTTCATGAATCTTGTCTAAAGTTGTTATGTGTTATAATCGATCAAGGCAACAAATTAAATTGTACAAATAACATTTTCCTAACTAATTATCAATAATATTTGATATGGTCAAGTTTAATAGTAAAATTAAAATTCATCGAATACTGTTTGTCATTAATGGAATCCATTAGAGGACCCAATAAATTTGGAAATGATTAACTAAAATTCATTGATTAAGATAAAATTAAAATAAAAAGGAGGATGTATAAAAAACAAAAATAAATCCATTGACAAGATCAATATAACACTTCACAGATAAGGTCTAATTAACTAAATGAAAATTAATTCAACTTCATCATAATCAACCAAGTATAAATTTAGAAGATTCGAATTTTATAAAATAACAAAAAGAATTTTGTTTAAAAGGATTCGTCTTTTTTTTTTTTTTGTTATATGGTGTTCATCAAATTTACAGTGAGCATTACCTTGAAGTCAATGATTGATGACCGTTGAACGGGGTTTGTTTGTTGATACTAAATATGGGGGCGTAAGAGCCGGCTGAAGATGTGGTGAGGTTGAGCAGCACTTGGTCACGGACATAAATATAAGTTTAACTGGCAGATCTCTCACCAAACACGTGGATAGGGATTAGGATGAACAATATCATATTTTGAGGTCAATCATTCATGAGTTGATTAACTTTGACTTACATTCGAGGCCATTGCTCATAATGCACCATAATAGATAAAGATATAATGGAATGCAGCTAAATTTGTGCCCAGTTAATTATAGGTTCTACGTTTTTAGCCCAACTTTTCAGATCATTATTTTCACACCACTTTGATCTCCTCCACCTGCCAATGTGAGTGATCTTAAATAGATCGATATAACTATACCATTACACATTTTTATTGATCTTTTTAATTTCGAGGGAGGTGAATGGTTTTGAACATACAATGGTATTGTCTTGCATCGCTTTTCCTCGGTTGAAAGAGTATAATTTATCTAACATTAATGCTATTGGAACACATTGCAACATTAAATACATTCCACTATTAGTCAAAATGTATTATATTCCTAAATTATGTCTCAATAGTATTGCTCTCTATGTAAATGTGATATCATATGGTATCACCATTAAATAATATGTTACTCTCTTCGTTCCTAAATATCTGTCGTTTTATGAAACCAAAACATAATAAATATATTTTTTCAAATTTACCCTTATCTCTATTTTCTAATAAGTGATTAATAGATTAAGTGTAGGCTAAGTGTCTTTCATATTTCTTTCCTTCCCAATACGTATTGAATAAGGGTATTTTAGCCTTGTGTAATTATTTTTTACTCATATTAGAACTATTTAATAATTTCCTTAATTGCTGTGCAAAAATCTTAAACGACAGATATTTAAAAACGAATGGAGTAATAAATAATGGGTTAATAGTATTTTTAGTTCCTAAAGTATGTATTTTTCATTAGTTTAGTTCTCATTATATCAATTTTATCAATTTGGTTCCTAAAATATTCAATTTGTGTCATTTTGGTCCCTATATAGACGAACCGTTAAATTTTTGACGGAATGATCACGTGTTTAACACGTAATACTGTCTAAAAAAATGACACATGGTTACTTCTGTCAAAAATTTTGACAAATTGTCTGATCCAACACATGGTCACTATTTGGTCAAAAAACTTGACGAATTGTTTGATTGGGGACAAAAATGATACAAATTAAATATTTTAGAGACAAAATTGACAAAATTGATATAAGGAGAACTAAATTGATAAAAAAAACATATTTTAGGAATCAAAAGTACTATTAATCCATAAATAATTAAAAAGGGTGTGGTCACTTTTCGGTCAAAAAAACTTGACAGATTGTTTGATTGGGGATAAAAATGATACAAATTAAATACTTTAGAGACTAAATTGACAAAATTGATATAATGAAAACTAAATTGACAAAAAATACATATTTTAGGGATCAAAAGTACTATTAACCCATAAATAATTAAATAAGGGGGAGGGAGAGAGGAAGGGGACTTGAACCTTGACCTCAAGAAGACAAAGTCTTTCACAAGATAAGTAATATCATTAGAACCCACACAAATCAATAAATATCCCTACATATAATACAACAACTACCTATCCTCCCTCCATATAAGCCAATAATTACCCACATATATAAGAAGGTGAGGTTCATCTTATCCATTTGATATTTTATTATTAGATAATAATATTATGTGACAATAATTTATAATTGTAGCGTTGCACTGAGTTGGAGAAAATATTCACTTGAGATAGTTGTGAATGAAAAGGGATACTCAAATTAAGAGTAGAACCCCGTATATATATCCAAAAATAATACAGAGTGACTTAAACATCCTTGTAGTTTAGGCAAAATATAAAAATCATAGTAAGGGTAAAAAAGGGAAAAGAAATCCTAATAAACCTAGACTATCTATACTCCAACACTCCCCCTCAAGCTAGGCGCAAAAATGTCAACTAAGCCAAGCTTGACAACGGAGTCCCGAAGAATAGACAGAGTGACAGGTTTGGTAAAAACATCCGCAACTTGATCACTGGTCCCCACAAACGATGGAGTAACAAGACCACTGCTGACCTTCTCCCGAAGAAAGTGAACATCGATCTCTATATGTTTCGTTCTCTCATGTAGTACAGAGTCAGAAGCGAGCTGAATAACAGATTGATTATCACAATATAATGTGGATGGAGAGGTCACTGAAAAATCCAACTCGTCAAGAATCGATCGTAGCCAGATAATCTCACATGTGCCAAGTGCCAATGCCCGATACTCTGCCTCTGCGGACGAGCGGGAGACAACTGCCTGCTTCTTGCTCTTCCAAGAGATAAGATGAGTCCCTCGAAAAGCACAGAAACCCGTAGTAGATCGACCATCACATGCTCCCCCATAATCTGAATCTGAATAACAGGCTAGAGAACCGGTCTGAGATCCTGATGCATAAAACAACCCAAGTCCAGGACAAGACTTGAGGTACCAAAGAATATGATAAACTGCATCAAGATGAGGCTGACATGGCCTATGCATGAACTGACTAACTCGGCTGACTGCGAATGAAATGTCCGGCCTAGTATTGGCTAAGTAGATAAGTCTACCTACCAATCTTTGATAAACTGTCGGATCTTTCAACTCCTCACCTTCAGCAGTAAGCTTCAGGTTTGGAATCATAGGTGATAATGCCGGTTTGCACCCCAACATCCCAGTGTCTGAAAGAAGATCCAAAACATACTTTCTCTGAGAAAGAACAATACCTCTGCTTCTACGGGCAACCTCAATCCCAAGAAAGTATCGCAGAAATCCAAGATCCTTCACATCGAAGGTCTTCCCAAGGTCTATCTTGACGTGCGCAGTCCCAGAAACATCATCACCAGTAATAATAATATCATCAACATATATCAGAAGGATGACACACTGTCCAGAAGTATTCCGTCGAATAAAGCAGGTATGATCAGAATGACACCTGGTGAACCCCAATCGTATGACTACATCACTGAAGCGAGAGAACCAGGCTCGTGGCGACTGTTTCAGTCCATAAAGAGACTTACGCAGTCGACATACCTTTCCAGCATACTCCCCCTCACCACGA